GATCTCCCTGGCTGCAGCAGAGGCAGAGGAAGTCTGCTCATTCATCTACAGGTTGCAACACATGCGTCTTTGCTCGTCAAAAAGTGGCATCTTTGCTCGGCTGACCTCAACTCCTTTCTGTAGCGCAATCGTTCCAACTTCAACCAGCGAGGCCGGCCCTACCCTCACCGCCCTCCTCCTTTTCCTGTGTTGCGCTCCTCTTCCCACGCTTCCATCAACCCCTCTTTTTCTTCTTCTGGCGCCTCCTCCCTTGCCCCATCCTCTGCCCTGGGTCCGAACAACGCTCGGAACAGGGAGCGGTGTGCGGCAGCAAAGGCCAAGAAAAAACTTGGCAAGCAAAACTGTGAGTATTGATTGTGCGCCGACATGGCTGCTCAACTTGGCTGACTTGATGACTTGCCCGCCTGACCACTTGCAGCCTCCTCTGTTCCTGACAGCACGCCCAAGGGCCCAGAAGGTTGCAAGAGTGAGGCAGCTCAAACATTGTGCACGATTTGATCTGTTCTGACATGCTTCTCTGCACCTCTACAGGCAACACCGATCAGCCTCCTCCCTTCTCTTGTCTGTGTGACGTGCCCAAGCTCAAGCTGAGCTGGGATTGGCCGCATTTCCAAGTTGGTGCTGTGCATCATGTACCAGCCCATTTTCTTGAGCACCAACAACGTATTCCACACAACATCAGTTGGAAGCTGAATGGTTTTGCTAGGTAAAGGTCCTGCTTGATCTGCAGCACCACCCTGCATCTCCCAAGAGATTTCCACAGTGGGCAAAGTAGGATGCCGCACAAGAAACTTTTGCATTCTCCTGTCTACATACAGCCAGTTCAGGCAAAACTTGTGCAGAGTCTTGTCTTGGCTTGCAAGCTCTGGATGAGCCAGCACCTGGCCTAATCCCTGCGCAACACGGTCAAAGCTTGGTGCCGACTGAAACTGATCTGCATCACCTGCCTTGGGCACTGCATGGGCCTTGTCGATGGTCACATACCACTTGGTCTTTACCTGCCATTGCACCTTGGCCTTTTTTGCAGCAGATCCCCGCGCAGGGCAGCGATTATGAGAACCTTCATTGTAGCCCCTTCAACTTGTGAGGGCCAGGAGGAAGCCTCTTACCTGGCTTGCATCCAGATGAACTCTCTTCCATTGTTTTGCAAGCGCTTGGGGAAGGCTTCAGGCGTTGTCTGTGAACATGTGGCCAGCGTTTGCGACTGCGTCTGCGTCTCCATCTGCGTTTGCAACGTTTCAGCTGGTGAGGAGGTATCCACCTCTCTTGACACTGCAAACAATGTTGGCCCATTTTGCTGTGATGACCTTGCAGCAGCCAAGTCCTTAGCTGAACGACAAACAATACCGACGCCACTGAGGTAATTTCGAGTACCAAAGGTGGCTGCCCAAAGTGGAGAGTCTACGCTTCAGCGCCTGTCCACTCTTCACCAATTGACTTGTGCTACCCCATCCTTCTGTCACAGTTCTGTCACAGTACAGAGCCACACTTGCCAATTGTGCTGGGGACAGCATTGGCCCTGCAACGCATTTGGTGATGGGAGCTCATGGGGTCAATAACTTGTTGTCATTGCGCAGGCTGACAGAGATCAAGATGGTACCTACAAAGCAGCTGTTGTTGGACGCCAAGGACCGGCTTGCAACTGGCATCATGGGGCTTAGGCACTTGTGATGTGGTTTGTGGAGGTTCTCTTTGAAAGCCCAAGTGGCTGCCAAAACCTGTTGCTTCAACAGAAGCTGGTTGCTTCAGCCCTTTGATCAGCTCTAGGCTGTCTGGGAACCTCTTCTCTTGTGTGCTCCAGCTGACTAGCTGCTTTGTTTGCACAGGCTCAACTTTGTGACCAGCACAAGCCTCCTCCACTGCCAGGGCCAATGCGCAAATTCATTTGACGCTGGACCACAAAGAGCAAGCTGCTAGGCAACCCCCCCGCCCCTCCCAGCATCAGCAGTATCAAATGCGCCAATCAGGTTCTCCGCAGATGGTGTTCCTTCACTTTCACCACAAATGTCACTGCTACCAGCCCGGCAACTGAGTCTGCAGATTG